AATTAGGAAGCAGCGAAGACATGGGGGGAAGGTCAGTGAAAAATTCCTACGGAGCGTGATGAAATGTGTCCGGCACCACTGACGCTAGAAGGAACATTCCGCAGACCAATTAAATGTAGGAGAATTTATTTGAGCAAAGCAACACGTTTCCCCAATCAGGCGGCTCCTAGGCCCAGTGCAGGCTCTGAAAATACCAACCATATAACCAGAAAGCATTTACAGGAAAACAGAAATGAGTACCAGAAAACAACCGATTACCAAGTCAATCTACTTCAATGGTGACAGCCCAACCAGTTACCTGGCTCCACGACTCTCTGTACCAGCCACACTCACTCACTGTGTCTATAGCTCTGTGCCCTAGCTACTATGAAGTCATTCACTGTGAATTCATTCCATGCTAGTTTGATGTGCTGGCCTCAGTGCAATAACTCAGTGCAAATGTCTGACCCACTACAAAGTGTAATTTAACTTAGCCCTTGGGGAAACACAAATTAAGATCAAAATTGAATATCATTACACAAACCTCAGGATAACCACTAAAATAACCATTAAGGAAAATGCGAAATTTAGCAAAGATTCCATGAAATCAGATCTCTCATACTGGTGAGTAAGGTAGCAAAATGGTACTTCAGAAATTGGTGGTTTCTCTGAAACTTGACCTTACACTTTGTGTGTAATCCAGCAATCATAAACCTGATCATTTTTTCTAGAGAAATGAAAACTCATTCACATGAAATCTTGTGTAACAATGTTCACAGTAGCTTTATTAGGAATAGCTCAAAAGTGGAAATGCCCAAAGTCTCCTTCAGTAAGCAAATGACCAAACACTGCCTTATGTTTATAGCACAAAATATTACACAGCAATGAAAAGCATACATGCCACCTGGATGAAAACTGACATGCTCGATAGTTCTATCTGCTTGTCCTCAGATGATAGGAATGTAAAGATGGGAAGCATGTTATCAATTGCAGGAGCCAGGGGTAGACAGGGGTTTTGTGCAACTAAAAAGGGGTCTACAATAGAGGCGTTGTGGTGTTGGGATAGTTCCACATCTTGATGGTGGGACAAGATCTGCACATACAGGAAGGGCACAAGGCTGCACAGACACTGAGCTATGGTGATGTTTACATTGGGTGTTAGAGCATCGTTACAGGAGGCACAGCTGTCTCGCCATCCTTCATGGAGGCTGTATGGGCTTTCTTTGCATCATCTCTGTGACTGTACATCTACACTTACTTCAAAAGAAGATGTTTTAAGAAAAGTCACGGAAGTGTCCGTGAAAAATATTATATTGTATGTAAAACAAAAATGGAGTTGCTGACTGAATCTCAAGATTGCTCTGTTCTGATATCTGAACATGGCACTTGGGGATTCAGGAGGAAAATCCAATCCCCAGCTGAAAAGGCAAAGCTTAGTTGCCCTGTCCCTGTTGCCTGGGATCTGTCCCACAGAGCTGGCTAAGTGTTCTCATGTGTCTCAGTGTTCAGTAATAAGACACTTGGGATGGAGTGTACTGCTGTGGCTTTACTGGAAGTGTTTGTGGCTCTTAGGACACCTGGTAAGTGTTTGAATGCAATACCTGAAACAGCCATAGCAATTTACCGACACAAAGATGAGGTCAATCCACAAAGAAAGGCTAAGTGGAGAGAACAGCACAGAATCGAAATTGAATCTTTATCCAATTAAACACTGACCAGACACACCCTGTACCTGAATTTCTTGTAATGTGAGATAAAAGTTTCTTCATTACAAAGTTTAATGACTTGGCCCATTTTCTGTTGTTAAATACCTGAGGCTGGGTAAGTTATAAAGAAAAGAGATTTCCATTTGATTGCTTGTTTTTGGCATATGGTTTTGGAGGCCGAGAAGATACCACAGAATCCTCTCAGCTCCTGATGAGGGCTTTGTGCTGCCACATCTGCAGTGGAGAAGCAGGAGGGGGAAGCAGGCACATACAAAGGAGCTTTGAGTGGTAGGGTGGAGGAGGTGCCCGGCTCACACTATAATAACACACTCACTCCTGGAGAACAGTCAGTCCTTGAGACCTAATAAATAAAAGCATTACTCCCTCTCTGATACGATCGCTCCCTGAAGGCACCACCTCCCAACACCTCCATACTGGGAACAGCCTTAGCGTGAATTTTGATAAGAGCAAACTATATTCATATCACAGCATCAATCGGAGGTGGGGTGCGATGGGAGGTGAAGTGCCGCAATCTTGAGTGAGAGCACAGGAATCTCTTTGTTAGTGGGGAACTAGCTGGTCCAAGTACCTGATAACAAACAACTTAAGGAGGAATGGTTTCTTTTGGCTCACAGTTCTAGAGGGTCAGTTCATCATGGCAGACAAAGCAAGGCTGCAGAAGACATGCAGTGTCTGGTCACGTTGCATCTGTCCACTGTCAGGAAGTCCAGGAGCGGGAGAAGTGAGATCAATGCCGGTGCTCGTGTGTTCTCATTTTCTTTGCTATTCAGTTCATCTTTCCTATTCAGCACATGGCAGGATGGTGTCGCCCACATTCAGGGCATGACTCTCCTCAGTTAAATTCCTCTGGAAACGTTCTCACAGACACAGCTGGAGATATGTCTCCTAGGTGATTCCAAATCCAGTCATGTTGACAGTGAGGATTAACTGGCTAATGGATTGTTCGGTTTGGAATATGACTATTCATCAAAAGGAGGTAATTAAACCATAGGTTTCTGAATCCCACCTAGACAGTCTAATTCTATCAAGACTGGCACCTAAGGATTTGTCTTCTTAATAAGCTCCTGAGTGATGTTCAGGCTTCTATTTCAGGAACCCTTTGAGAACTGCTATTTTGAGGTAACTTCACCAATCCTTTTCTGTTCCCTAAATGGATTTGTGCTCACCTTTGCAGATGTAGTGTTGGTGGGAACACAACTGAACCTCATGTGAACTAAGGCAACTCAACCACAAAGACAAAACTCATCCAAGAATCATCTCTTTCTCATAGGAAATGCCCTTTCCTAGTGTCACAGAGTTCAAGACCACTGGGAAAAGACCACCAGGCCAAATTCAGATTTTAATTAGGCAAATTTTATTGCTGCAGCAAGACTGACAGTCTCCATTGGCCAGATACTGGACTGCAGCGAAGCTGGAAGGGGAAGGGAATCTTTGTTAAAGGCAGAAACCACACACAGTTGCAAGGACTGTGGCATCACACTGACACTTAAACGCAGCAATAAGCAAGTTTATAGAAGCCAAAACAAGCAGTTGTTAGTCATTTTCTTAACAGATGTATAAAGACCTTCGTGGTAAGGAGCTTTCTCATTATTATTTCAGAACAAGAAAGACAGGATATTGTGTAGGTTATTTTCCCTTGGGTGGGTAAGAATCATAGCTGCAATATCTGGATGTCAATATTCCTTTCTGTGGTCAGCTATTTCTAAAAGGAAAACAAACTTCTGGGATGTGACTTACTGGAACTAAGTTCAGACCTTAAGCTGGCTGCTTCTCTGATTTTTAAAGTTTAAGATGACTACTTTGTAAAAAATGGAGCTGCTCTAGTCATTACACTAGGAACAGTGTCCTCCCTGTCATAGGACAAACAATTCTTAGATGAAGGAAATTATCAGGCAAGTCATCCAGATTGTGATTATTTGGAGACTGGAAATAATAGAAGTCACCTGGGCTCATAGGAAATGAAAGTGTGTTTTGCTAGATCCCAGATTCATGTTCCCTATGTATCTGTGGTGCCCTAACTGCTGTATTCTGAGCATGCTCAGTAGGAAGAGGGCTCTCCACTTAGACTCTCCACTAAATAGATGGGCGACTTAAATATCTGTGGTGTGGGGCATCCTTGAAATGCATTCCCCGAGAAGCAGAGCCTCAGTGGAAGCTCAGCATGGACGTCTGTTTGTCAAGCTCCTATCTACAAACCCCTTTGCTTCTGTCATCTTCTTGAGTCCCGCAATGACTCTGCAAGGCAGACAGTGCAGGAACGGTTTTCTCATTTCATCAGACCTTGAGTAAACCAAGGCTCTGGGAACAGCTCACTCAGCAGCAAGGGTCAGATAGCAAACTCTAGGCTTCTGATGTTCCCTCCCTCACTCCCAGCCCCTTGGTAGGATGTTCCTGTCAACTCAGTGGTCCTCAGAAACCTGGTCTGCTAAGGACTCCATGGATCACTGGCCTTGATGATTTCTGCAAACAACTAGACAAGAGGCAGGATTGGTCCATTAGTCACAGATGATCTGCTGTGGAGAAAATGTGGAATGACTATGTTATGGCACTGTGTCCTGGGGAGCAGCAAATTAAATCTCTAGTCTTGAGTCTCTAGGTGATTCTCTGATCTTATAACATAGAAAGCTGAGAACCATCTTTTAAACAAACTTCTTCATTTCCTGGTGTATCTAAAAGGAAGTGAAGCCCCTTTATGGAGATCTTTCCACGAGAGTACCATGTTCCATCAGACCCCATATGATTTTTTCAGTGGTCTTCTTTTCTTCCACTTCTTAGCAACTAGACTGTATTGCAAAATTCATTGTTTGCTTTTTTAGCTTTTTTTAGACACAGTGTTGCTAAGTAGCTCAGTCTGACCTAGAACTGACCTAGCTGTGTTGGCCAAGCTATCCTTGAGTGCATGACCCTCCTGCTTCAGGCTGCTGACTTCTGGGATTATAGACCTGTGCTCCCATGACTGGATCACAGCTTTAAATAAAAATTTATTACATTTATTAAATAAAATATTTTATATCCTGACTATCATAAGTTTTTAACTTAATTTTTATTGGTACATTTTCATTGTGCATACTGATAGCTTTCATAGACATTTTCTTTCAAATAGCGTAAGTACTTTGACCACATTCAATCCCAAACTCTGTCCCTTCTCCCTCCCTTTCCCCCCTCACTAGTTTCCTTCCTTCCCTCAGTCTCTCTTCTGCACTTATGCCATACATATAAATGGTTTTATGTGTCTATATAAAATCTATGATGTGCAAATTAAAGAAATGTGATGTCAGCCTTTTTGAGCCTGGCTTATTTCATTTAACGTAACGACCTCCAGTTGAGTCATTCTGCAAATGGCACAATTTTGCTCTTCTTTATGACTAAATAATATTTCCTTGTCCATATTTTCTTTGTCCACTGAGCTGTTGGCAAACATTTAGGCTGGTTCTATAACTTCACTGCTGTGCAGCATTGTGGTTTATTGTGCAATAAATACGGATAAACTATTGACTTCATTGCCCATTAATTGATTTTTTTATTTGTTTTTTATAACTAGTTTTTTAATTTCTAAATATATTCTAGATATTAATACCCTGTCTGATGTATAGCTAGCAAAGATTTTTTTCCCACTTTGTAATCTGTCTTTTCATATAAAAAGTTTTAATTCACTTCTATTAATTGAATGTAAAGTGAATTACTTATATTTAAAAAATCCTAATTTTGTAAAATATTTGTTAGACTCAATACTATCAGAGTTCTTACAATTTAAAAAAAATTCTAGAGATATTTTACAGTTTATTAATCCTTAAACTTTTTTAAAGTTATGGACATAGTATTAAAATTATTTCTAATGACTTATTACTATATCTGTATATTAGTGCATCTCTCAACCTTCATCAATAGAAAGCCTCTTGCAATAGAAAGCAATTAACACAGAGAACAATAGCTGTTCAACATGCAGAAAATAATAGACTGCAGAGTGCTCACCCCAAATGGCACATCCTTGTTACACCCTTCTCCTCAAGGCTCAGGGATCTTCGTGGGAGAGGGGGCTGAAAGATTGTAAGGGCCGGAGGTGGTGGGTGACCACAAGGAAGCAGTGTTTCCAGACAGCAAGACAGTTACACATATGAACTCACAACAGTCGTGACAGCATGCACAAAACCTGCTCAAGCTCAAGCCAGACAAAATCCCAACACGGGAGTAAGAAGAAGGTGGGCATGAGGTCCCATCCCTAGCTAAGGAGCTGTGGAAACAATGCATTAGTATGATCTCGACCACTTGTGGCCTTTGCTGTGCATCACACTCTGTTGTGTGAAGAAACTTCACTTGTGAGAGTTGAGGGATGCATTAGTATGATCTCGACCACTTGTGGCCTTTGCTGTGCATCACACTCTGTTGTGTGAAGAAACTTCACTTGTGAGAGTTGAGGGATGCATTAGTTGTACCTCGACCACTTGTGGCCTTTGCTGTGCATCACACTCTGTTGTGTGAAGAAACTTCACTTGTGAGAGTTGAGGGATGCATTAGTATGATCTCTACCCCCTGTTCTGCTATGTCCCATGAGCCTTAGGTATAGAAGTTCCACTGTAGACATGTGACTTAGGGCTGGACATCTCTCAGATACATATTCTCTGTTGACTAGTTGTGGACCTCTGTACTAGCCTCCATCTATTACAAAAAAGAATCTTCTTTGATGAGTGGTATATGATATACTTGTCTGTAAATATCAGCTTCCATATTTAGGATATAGTAACAAATTTCATTTGTTAGAGATATGATAGATGAGGTTTTCTCTGGGATCTGTGGCCTCTTCAGTCATGTGTATTTGGCTGTGTTTACAGTGCCACCCATGAGTTCCCACCCATTGAGAGGACTTTAAGTCCAATTAGATAGCTGTTGATTACCCCCAAGATAAAAGTCCCACTATTGCACCAATAGAGATAGTTTGCTGTGCTAGTTGTTGTGATTATTAGGCTTTATAGCTTCGTTGGACCAATGATTGGTTTTTCTCCCTCAGCAGCTTGCTTAGTATCTTCTAGAACTAGACTTCAGGGAAGTGGCTTCCAGTTCAGATCCAGCTCCACTGCTCCAAGTCCTGTGTCAGAAGTAAGTTCTATCTTCAGTAATAGGGTCTACCTTGAAACTCTGGGAGATAATCAAGGACTGTGGCAATAGCCTCTGCTATTCTGGGAATGTCTTGGACTACCTGAACCAACAATTCAAAGGGAGGTGTCCCCTGTCTGGCACCATGCTTCCTGTTATATAGCCTTCATGTCTACACATGCACTCATGTTTGATATTGCATGTGTATTTGGGGGGGGGGTTAATATATTTTCCTCTGGCTTTTCATACCACCTAAGCTTTGTTTATCTCTCTCTCCCTGTCGAACCTCCCTCCTCCCTCCCCAGTTTAAGTGTCCCCATTTTCTCCTATTATCCTCCTCTTGAGTTCCTTCTTCCCCTTTACCTCAAGGTTCCTTGTATGTCCTTCCCTCCTTCTGTCCCAGTTGAATACCCCCATTTTCCCCATTTCCCCCTTGGTAACATCTGTTTCCTACTATCCCCCTCTCTCAGACTCTCTTTCCCTTTACATCCATGGTTCCTTTCCATTTTCCTGACTTCTCCAGTTTCATCAGGATATATACTCACATATAAGAATTTGGTACTAAGATCCACAAATGAGGGAGAACATACATTGCTTGTTTTTCTGAGTCTGTGTTACTTCATTCAGTATAACAGTTTCTGGTTCCATTCACTTACCTGCAAATTTCATGTTTTGTCTTTCTTTGCCACTGAGTAGAACTCCATTGTGTAAATGTATCACATTTTCATTATCCATTCAGCAGCTGAGGGACATTTAGGTTGCTTCCATTCCTCAGCAGGGTAGTTGGCAGGTCTGTGACTGACAGATCAGGAAGTCAATGGCAAGGTCGGAGTAGGACAGCCT